ATGATTTACCTTGATTGTAGGACAGATTTGTAGGAATTTGATTAGTCTTCTTTCCTAATATATTCTTTCCTAACATAGAATTTGTAACTTGTATATATACATACGAGATTGATGAATAATACAACAAATTCTTCTTCTTCCTCTGTTTACTCTTATTTTACATCTCCAAATTGGAAGACCAATGCCAATAGCTAGGGAGGTAGTTGTTTTCATGACCTTGAACTTTGTTTTGAATGGTCAAAAGCGTTTTGAAGAAACCTCCATAGAAAAGGTCTCAGGATTTAATAGTTAGGACTAGTCAATGAGAGTGGCTTTTCAATCATGACCTCTTAGCTGGTACATGTTGCCATGTTGGTTCTTGGATCATTGGGCTTGTTTAAGTGTCCTGAAATGCTGTTTACTCTGGCAATTCTATTTTTGGCACAGGCTTTTAGTTTAGATTTGTGTTTAACTGTATGTTACTTCAACTATGCCCTAATTTGTTATGAACATTTGGTACTTTGCATCAACAGAAGGATTTACAAGTTAAAAGGCAAAGGGAAGAGGTGTGATAACAATAGTACAGCTCCTCCATGCATAGGGTAAAAATGTCAAATCACATGGTGCTGTTATGAACATTTAACTAATTTATTGATGTCCTTGTTAATTTTGACTACTTACCATCATAAAAGATGCATTTCCTTTATTTATATGACTTGAATTTATACAATGATGCAGTTGGGTAGAAATGATGGCACCAGTTTTTTCAAGGGCAGCCTGGCGTTGTACATGGTATATGATCCAGGTGTGGGGGTGTAGCACCTCAATTATCCTAGTAAAAGTAGTTGGTTGCACAATAGAATGTATGATGTTAATGAGCTTCTAGTCATTACCTAGTTTTACTCCCAGTTATCTAGGGAGGGATGGACTGGATAAGGACCTAAGGTTCAGCATTTTCATGTAGTGGCTGCTCATAGACATAATGAAGTCTCTATAAGGAAAATTGACAATATAGATATTTCCCTTTTAAGGTTTTTCTCTCAATTGCTTGTAGCGTAGCTTTCTAAATTATATGGCACAGCCAAACAACATTTATTATACTTCTTTTTTTTATTCATTTTGTAGAATGACTTAATCCATGCATGGGGCCTGGATATGCAACTTGGTTACTGTGCTCAGGCAAGTATATTATCCTTAATTGTATAAATATATGCATACGTCTTGCCTACATTGGATCATTCTTTTTCAATTATTTTTCTTTTATTGGACAGGGTGATAGAACCAAAAATGTTGGGGTGGTGGACTCAGAGTATATAGTTCATTTGGGCCTCCCTACACTTGGAGTTGTAGATGAGAACAAGGTAAAAGTCTTGTTTTAAACTTGCTATGGAACTAAACTACTTCAATGTCTCAGTGCCACTTGAAACATAGAACTGGTATGTTTCCACCAGAAAATATGTTTTGTATATTTGGTTCAGTTACGAGCTGTTTGATAACAGCTGTATCGGTTGACTCACTGCTCCCATCTTTAGTTATTAAATCTGTAATGACTCAAGGGGTGTTGGCTTTGTTACATACTGCTAAATATTTTAGGGTAAAAGACTTAAACCTCCCTTGACATTTCTCATAAATACAGAAACCTCCCCTCTCTTACCAAATTGATCCAAGACCTCCCTTGTTAAAGCTATGTCTAACAGAATCATCAAAAAGTCTCTTTTACCCTTGCTAATTCTTCAAATTTTTTAAACAGTGGAATCTTTCTTGCCAGAGCTTAGTGATCGCAGATATGAATACATACAGAAGAGTTTCAGATATCTAGAGTTCTAGACTTCCCTGCATCTTGAGACCTGATGCAGGAGCTGAAGAGTCAAAATTGGAATTTTTTGATATTTTATGTATTTCTGTATTTTTTGACAGTAGGGGTATTTTTGTCATTTTGCAATTTTCTGTGGGGGTCCAATGATAGGGTTTTAATTGTCTAGTTATAGTTTGTTTATGTTTGAAATTTCAGAGTCATTGCATAAGTAGGATTAGAGTTATTGAGTCTTCTTTGAATTGAAGTAGGATATGACAACTTAGTTTGAGTCCTACCAGGATTATTGAGTCTAACAGTTTGACTCCTAAGACTATTATGAGTCTAACAGTTTGACTCGTAGGATTATTATGAGTTTAGAGTCTATAAATATGTATGGACGTTTTACACAAAGGCAATGAATCATATTGAGTTTTCTTCAGCTTATGCTAGCTATGGTGAGTGATTCCCATGCCCTAGAGTGATTCTAGGTATTTTCTTCTTTCTCTCCCTATTTTCTCTTTTATTCCTTCAAGAAGCCATTACAGCCATCAAAAGCCATAAAACTTTGATCAAGAAGACCATTCAACATTCTCTAAGGACTAGAACTGAGCTGGTCCTACATCAAGACCATAAAATCTGAACCCATGTTGGCAAATACATAAACAACAAGATAAAAGAAACAACAGCAAGAATCTATGTCTATCATTACCTCAGATTTCTGAAATCAAAACAACCAAAATAAATAGAAAACCAAGGAAGTTATGTCTATCATCACCTCAGAAGGTTAGAACCAAGTTTCAAAGTATTGATACGATACGCCCTATATGGGAGGACTATGGGCGTATACGGAGCATATTGTATCATATGGTGATGGGGTTTCGATACACCTGTTTAAAGGTATTTTCAGGAAATCATTATGTTTTATTTATTAAATAATATAAAAAGGTCTATAAAAATGTAGTTTTGAAAAAAAAAACTACAAAAAATAAAACACGCATGGTTTAAAGTACTGATAAACCCTTGCTGATACATTTGGGTGTATTGATACTTTAAACCATGGTTAGAACATGGAGTTACCAAAAAAATAGGATTCATATGCATCTAAAGGAATGCCAGAAGTGCTGCAAAGCTAATGCAAGGAATGATGGTACTTGGTAGTAGCAGAAAAGTTCCTCCCTTGCCAGTAGTCTGCAGCAGCAAGGCGCAGAAGATCTAAGTTTAAGAGGTTCATCACTAGTACAATGGCTCAGAAGAGTTGCATGTAGTCACTCCAAGTATGAAGCACAGAAAGAAACTTCACTTTGAGAATGGCATTGATGAAATCCCTTTGCAGGTGAATAATATCTCTCTTGCTTCCCAGAATTGCAGGATTTTTTTTTGAGAGAAAAGGTAAAATATTTCATTAAGAAAGCTGAGCATGTATACAAACCTTGCCCAGTAAGGCACTGGACAAGGCAGGAAAATTTTCGTACATTCCAAAAAAAACACTTCCAAAAAAATCATACAAAAAGAAAGTCATGCTCATAAAAAGAGCTATAAGGACAATTCTTGAATAATTTATGTGTCACCACCCATGAGTATAACCTTCCCCAAATGCCCCCACCCAAAAAATCATACAAAAAGAATTGCAGGAAAATTGTCGGGTCAATAAAATCTGAAGTCCACCATGGAAAAGGGTAAAAGAGATTGCATGAACGTCAGATTGAGGATGATGGCCTTTTGATTGCAGCTATTATTAAAACCAAGGATTCCAGCCCCCTCCACCAAGGAATCTACTTTGAAGAAGGCCTCTAACTCAAAGGGGAATTGCAAGTTGTTTTCATGAAGTCCTGGTAAGGGTGGAAAGCACTTCAAAAGGATGGTAAGTGATCATCCTTGGGGGCTACATCTCTGCTGTTATGGTTGATTGATTCTGGTGTGTTGTGTTTGTAAATGACATAATCCAGTACCAGACCCCAAAGGATAATTAGTGGTTAAAAATGACTGGATTTTGAGGGACAGTATACTCTGTAAGTGCTGCAGTTTCTGCGTCTGGGTTCAAGGTTCATGCTGGTTTCAAGTTGTACAGACCATTCATAAATCCTTTTATGGAGTCCAGAAAGTCATTCACCCTATGCCATCTTGAGGTTTGGTCTTCAGAATACAAGTCCAGGAAAGGTGGTAGGCAAGCAATGCATGCTGATGGATCAGCTCTCTATCATGTTTCTCTGCACAGTCGGTATTGCCCGAACTGCACATGTTGGATTTGTAGGAATATGGTCAATGCAAAAGAGGCCTCAGATTCCTTTCTTGTACCAAAATGTTCACCGTGCCAGTGTAAATATCATGAAGCATGATACATGGTTTGTGGAGGATCCTGTCAAGAGGTTTATGCTAGTCTTCATTCCCATGTTGGTGTGTCAAACCATACCAAGGATGGATTTTTTTGGACCCTTCTGAAGACACATACAGTGATCAATTAAAAACTTTGAGTTTTCTTGAAGGGGCAAAACTGGGTTTTTAAAAGAATCCCATGGATGATGTCATGCACAAATGGATCCTGGTGAATTGTTAAGGGAAGGTCTTTGTCTGATGACATCACCTGACAGGGGAGGTCTTAGTCCATTTTGAAATGAGAGGGGATGTTTCAGTATTTACAAGAAACATCAAAGGAGGTTTAAGTCTTTTACCCACTAAAGGACAAAGAAATAAGTCAATCAGTTCAGCCACTTCAGCTGATATCGAATGGCCCCTTAGGGCCTTAGTCATTTCTATTTAATGGTCATGTATGGAGTCAAATTCTAAAGCACTCACTAGGCCATAACTTATCAAGACAGCATGTCAAACTTGAGAACCAATATCATTTTCTGCTCATCCAAACTGATATGTCATTTTTGACTTGCAGGCACCATTTGACTCCCATGTAATTGACGGTAGATCATCAGTGAGTCTCCAACTGAAATTTATAATTAGAAAAACAATCAATTTGAAGCTTCTGTTTTTTTTTTTCTTTTTTGATTCATCAATTGTGAAGTCCCATAGACTTTGCTATGGGACACTATCTCAGTGTCTTTTTTTGTCTTTCTGCTATTCAATTATTCATATAATAAGTATGGGTTTATAATATATACATTTTTATAATTGTTAAAAATGCATAGTTGCTGTTTTGAGGGCAGTTTGTTTTTTATATTCTGGTAAATCCAAATGGATTTGTGCTTGACCAGGTGGTATTGCCCAAACAAAATTATCTGATCATAATCAGGCATCTATTTAGGATATTCAATGGCTCGAATTGATCTGGTATGCTTTACCTTGTCCCACCTCCACTGCTATGGCGAGGACACATTGGTCAAGATGGAATTAGTTGTTGTTTTGAGGACAGTCTGTTTTTGATATTCTGGTCAATCCAAATGGATTTGCACTTGACCAGGTGGTATTGCCCAAACAAAATTAGTTGATCATAATCAGGCATCTATTGTATATTCAAGGGCTCAAATTGATCTGGTTTGCTTTACCTTTGTAGGTTTTCAAGACTGCTATTCAGTCTTGACCACTAAGAGATTTCAGGTTCGATGAGAAGAGAAAGTGAAGAAGTAGAAGAAAGAGTGGTGAAAGAGCAATAGAACACAGTTTTTGAGGAGAAGAACAGAATG